CTCAGTGCAGTGTTAATGGACTGTAGTGTCCAGTGTGTCTGTATTAACCCCTCTCTCTCCCTGCAGCACATCGCTCTGTCCATCTTCTTCCCTGGATGGTACCGGCTGTCCAGCCTGTGCATGAGACTGACGGAGAGCTACGCCAGCAGCACGCGGCAGTCGATCGAGGAGATGATGGTTCAAGCAGCTAAGAAAGAGGAGTGATGGAGGGAGTGCAGGAGGCCGGCTGGAGCCTTGGGGTGAGACTGGCTCACCTGCACGAGTTCTGCAAGGGCATCGCGATCGCGGCAGGATAGTGGGGAGGGGCTGAGGGGGTTCGGGGGGGTTCGGGTTCAGTGCCCAGATGGCTGACTCCAGGAGCTGCACTCGGGTCGCTCCGGTCGATGCCCTTCTGTATGAATGCTCTCCCAGCCTGCCACTGGGAGTGAGGATGAGCTCTGTGTTCGAGATCACGGTGCTGGGATGTGAGGCCAGTCGGAGCAGTCCTGATCCTGCAGGACTGGTGTGTCTTTTGGGTGTCCCTCCTTTTCTGCTCTTATCAGCTTCAGCTGCGTGGGGGAGAGTTGGGGAGCCCAACACTAGGAGCCCCCCCCCCCAGGACAAGCAGAAGACACCTTCAAACTTTCGACCAGCCTGGACTGAGTCGTGACTAGGTGGTCGGATGCCAGGGTAGTCCTGGCTTACTGTGCAATAGCACCGCCCTGGTGGCGGGCTGGTGGTCTAGGAGGCCCTGCTTTATGAGGTCTGGATCTGCCCAGTGCAAGAGACCAAATCCTTACCAATATTCCGCTAGAGGTGTGCACTGAGATTAATAAACTCAATAAACTATCCTCAAGAGCGGTGCTTTTTAATGAAGCTTAGGATCTTCATCAATTCATCAGTTTCCCTTTGGGATCAATAAAGTCTTATCTATCTCTCTCTAGTTATTAGTGCTGCACACGCCCAGTCTGGGAGCCTCAACTGTGTTTCTTACGCTTCGGCCCTCTTCCTCGAACCCTGTGACTGCACACAGGGGAGAGTGACTCCTGCTAAGCCCCGCCCACCCTGCTGCCCCTCAAGCCAATCACAGGCTGAAACACATCACAGGTTCCTCCACCCTTTCCCAGAGGATCAGCGCGGATTGGAGGACAGTGGTGTCCCTCACCAACTGCCCTGTGTGCCTGCACATGTCCAGGTGGGGGCGCCGCACCACTTAGAGCTCTTACTGTCTATCCCAGTCTATCGTCTCTGGTGCTCAGGCAGGGTTGCCACTGCTTGGGGAATCCCAGTCACACGAGTTGTTTCCCCCGGGGGGGGGGTGTCTGAACTTTGATCTGATGTATGGTGTGGTGGTGGTGGTGATGGAAATAAGGATGTAAGCTCTTCCAGCTGGGATAAGAAACGACACCACTAGACTGGTAAGTATAGGGAAGAGCAGACAGCTGGATGGAATGACTCAGCGCTGGGCTGGTGGGAGGAGTGAACAGCAGAAGAGAGCAGGGGAGGAAGACCAACAAGACGGAAGACACCAGGGGGGAGAGTAATGTTTGACATCACATGAACACTCATCACTATCAGATCTGTAGCCGCTCTAAAGCCACTTGTTTTAGCTAATCCGCATTTTCATCAGAAGAGGAGTCATGAACAAAAAAAAAAATCAGTTTTTCTTTAATTTGTTTTGGACATTTTACACTGCTAGATGACAAAAAAAACAATTCCTTTATTCTTAAAATCTGTGTGTCTAAATCATTATCGGTTGATGGTGAATCTTTTAAAAATCCTTGAAGACATTTTTTTGTCTTGCATTTGTTTTCCTCATGTACAAACAGTGGAAGCTGGTATTATCACTATGTTGTGTGCCATTAAAAAAACTGTTTCAGTAACCTGTGCTGGAGAAAAGGACACTATTTCCTCCAGAAATACATTAGCAAGGTGGGAGACGCAATAATCCAAGTCACAGCTTCATAGAGAACTGGTGTACTATGCTGTCTGTTGGGGGTTTGACCTTGTATTTGGATTTCTCATTTTCAGGGAGGAGTTTGGTGCAAATTGAATGTTGGAAACATTTGTATATCACAATATTTGGTGAATCCTGCCTGCTCAAACTGTCCACGTGGGTGCTATCAATTAGCCTCATTTTTCACAGACCATACTAGATTTTAACAAATTACCATTACAGGAACTCCTATCTGATCTCTCTCAAACTATACATATTTCTGAGCAGACCCAGAAGGTGTTTGTTTGAATCCACTTTTCTGCATGAAAATGCATGCACGGGCTCCTGTTCTGGACATTGATTTCATGTGCAGCTGACATTGGATTTGTCCACTTGAAATTGGACATGTGGGCTGGATCCTTTTCTTGCTGAAATATCCAATTTCAGCGTCTTGGCAGAGGGAACAATCAAACCAGGCCAACACCCCTCGGTAAATGTTGTAGCTCATGATTCGTCAACAATTCCCAACCAGGGCTCCAGAATCCACATACCAGACCAGACATAGATCCTGTCCTTTTGCTCACCAGGCAGAACTCCGACAGGCCGAAAAGCTCTTTCCAGTGGGGTGTTCTTGTGATGTGGACGCCACTAAACTGCTTTTTCCCAGCATCTTTATTCTGAAGGAGCAAGTGTGTGTGTCAGAGATCTCTGTCTGCCGCCGTCGGAGATTCTGTTTCTTCCCTGAACCCCCGGACTTCCCCACAGGGTGGCCATGTCACCAGTAACCATGCCTCTCTTAACAGCAGACCCAAAGGAGAGTTAGTAATTATAATGATTGCTTACACTTATATAACGCTTTTCTGGACACTCCTGGATGATGCGACAGCAGCCATACTGCACCAGTACACTCCCCATACACCTGCTATCAGTGGGGAGGAGAGCAGAGTGATGAAGCCAGTTCATAGATGGGGATTATTAGAAGGCCATGATTGGTAAGGGCCAATGGGAAACTTGGCCAGGGTTACACCCCCTACTCTTTTCGAGAAATGCCCTGGGAATTTTAATGACCACAGAGAGTGAGGAGAGAGCCTCGGTTTTACGTCTCATCAGGACAACACCTGTTTACAGTATAGTGTCCCCGTCACTATACCGGGGCATTAGGACCCACATGGACCACATGGTGAGCGCCCCCTGCTGGCCCCACTAACACCTCTTCCAGCAGCAGCCTTAGCTTTCCCAGAAGGCCTCCCATCCAGGTATTGACCAGGCTCACGCCTGCTTAGCTTTAGTGGGCTGCCAGCTGGGAGTTGCAGGGTGATATGGCTGCTGGCTAAGCAGTTGAGTTGGAGCTTCTTTTATAGCCGTTTCCCAGCTGCTCTAGATGAGCAGTTTGCTCCAACAGTACTACTGGCCTCATCTGAATGCTTTTACCTGCACTGTACAGCGTAGTAGATTATTCATGCAGTAGTAATATCTCACATGCTGCACAGCCCTCTTCTGTATAATATATAATAGAAAACACACTGCAGACATAACAGGAATCTGAAAACCTGTCGAAGGTGTTGTGAAACAGAGATGACGTGTATCACACAAGACAAAACACAAAACAGAGCAGGCACAAACACTGCAGGACCCAGAAGTGTGAGCGGTGCATTGTTTTAAATTCAGGTGTGAAAGAGTCTTCTACAGTGTGAAATGCACAGTTAAGCACTGACTGGATTAAACCCTCGCACAGTCAGCAGGCGTCTGTACACCAGTGAAGAACTGAGGACGAGGAAGCCCCCCCATGTACATGAGATGGCAAAACGCCCTATGTCAGGTTTTCACTCCTGTTACCCCTGAGCCTGTGCAGCTCCTGTGCTCAGTCCTGGGTGTCCAACTTAAAGAGGAGCCCCAGATCATGTACTGAGACTCGAAGTCCTGATCCAGAAAGAAGAGCTGTACATCACCATTGCACAGAGCAATAAGAGTAATTGTACCACAACTGGGTTTCTCTGTGT